CATGACCTCTGTGGGAGCAGGGAGAGACAGCAAGCCCTTCTTATAGGCACTAATCCCATCATGAGGGCCCCACCCCATGACTTCATCCAACACTGATTATCTCCCAAAGTTCCCGTTGCCAAATACCATCACATTGGGAGTTAGGGGTTTGACCTGTGAATTTGTGGGGGGAGATACAAACATTCAGTTTATAATGTGCTATAAGATGAATGAAAACATTATGCTCAATGAAAGAAGTAAGTCATAAAGGATCACAAATCATATGACTGCATTTGTATGAAATGTCCAGAACAGGCAAACCCATAGAGCAGGTTAGTGGTTGGTTGCCAGGGACTGGGGAACAGGAAATAGACAGTGACTGCTAATGAATACAGAGTTTATTTTTGGGGTGATGAAACTGTTCTGGAATTAGATTGTGGTGATTGTTGCACAACTTTCTGAATAAACTAAAAAAACACACACAAACCCCCCCCCCACACACACACACTATATTGCATGCTTTGAAATGCTGAATTTTATGTCATTGAACTATATCTTAATTTTTTTAAAGGAAAAAGATGTAAAAGACATCAATCAAGGGCACTAGGTGTGGCTACCTTGTGGGGCTCTTGATTCTGTCATCTTATAAGAAATGTCCAAACTTGCAGAGATTTTTTTTAGGTTTATTTGAGCCAAGCTGACAATTGCCAGGATTGAGAAAACGCTCCGGAGAATGGCAGTTTTACAGCTTATTTTATTTTATTATTATTTTTTAAAATATATTTTTATTGATTTCAGAGAGAAAGGGAAAAGGAGGGATAGAAACATTAATGATGAGAGAGAATCAGCACGCCCCCTACTGTGGATCAAGCCCGCAACCTAGGCCTGTGCCCTTGTCCAGAATTGAACCCAGGACCCTTCAGTCTGCAGCTGACACTCTAGTCCAGGGGTGGGCAAACTTTTTGACTCGAAGGCCACAATGGGTTCTTAAACTGGACCGGAGGGCCGGAACAAAAGCATGGATGGAGTGTTTGTGTGAACTAATATAAATTCAAAGTAAACATCATTAAATAAAAGGGTGGCAAGATCACAAATCTCAGTTATTTGGGACTTTGGTTCCCTTCAGAAAAAAGGATAAGTTCCACTAAGTGTCAATTCTATTTCAGATCCCTCTATTTCCCCAAGCACAGTACTTACTAGACATACTAGAGGCCCGATGCACGAAATCCGTGCAAGGGGCTTGGCCCCCCCGTCGCTGCCATGGCTGCCTCTGCTTCGGCCCCGTCCAGAAGGTCGTCTGAAAGGACTTCCAGTCTAATAAGCATATTACGCTTTTATTATTATAGGTAATTAGTATTTAATAAATCCTCAAATGCCAAAATGTTCTAAAATTGTTTAAGCCTAAGGACTGAAAATTAAAGACTGGACATCAAGGAGAACTTTCTTCAAGACCCAACTCTGCCATAAAAAGGCAGGGCTTTTATTACAAGGTTATTCTCTGTGGTATGACTGCTCTGAGTCACACTGTGGATGAGCCTACCATGTCCATGAACATGGGATGCTACAATGTCCAGTAGCTCCTTGGACTGAAGAAGACTGAATGCTGCTTGGATGGGTCTGTAAAAATCACTCTTCTTCTGCTAGACATTTTCTATAAGCTTTCAGTCCTTTTCCTGAATAATCAGAGTTAAATTACGTCTGGCAATAGGATCTGGGTCTATGACTTTGACCACTTCTAAGACACATGTCTTAAGAGCTTATTAAGAGCTATATTTTCCTCAATACAAATTTCTTTGAGCTAATTCAGGGGTGGGCAAACTTTTTGACTCGAGGGCCACAATGGGTTCTTAAACTGGACCGGAGGGCCGGAACAAAAGCATGGATGGAGTGTTTGTGTGAACTAATATAAATTCAAAGTAAACATCATTACATAAAAGGGTACGGTCTTTTTTTTTTTTTAGTTTTATTCATTTCAAAGGGGCCGGATCCGGCCCACGGGCCGTAGTTTGCCCACGGCTGCTCTAGCCACTGAGCAAAATTGGCTAGGGCTGCAGCTTATTTTATATATTAGAATACAAGGAGACAAAAGGAGGAGGGGTTAATATGGAGTCTGTTGGTGGTAGATTAAGGGGGCAGGAGAAAGCAAAGCAGGGAAATCTCTGCGGTTGGATAAAAAGGCAAAAGAGAGAAAAACAACACTTCTTTACACTGGTGGGTGCGGGCAGTTAATGATTGACATTTACAGCACATAGAGGTGGAGTGCGAGGAACAAGATAACAATGAGGGGTCTGAGGTCTGGTGATTGGAGAAGGAGATTACGCAGACATTTCAGAAGTATGTTATCTTAGTTGCAAAAGGGCAAAAGACAGGTTCACTTAAGGTAAAGGTTGACCTTCGTCAAGGGAACTGCATGCCCAGGTGTGACTACCTGCATGACCTGCTTTTAGTTAGAAATGTTTATGTTTAGACCATTTCATGTGGTTACTCTCAGTTTCTGAGTTTGTAGGGCCCATTCTGCAGGCCTCCCCTGAGCTTGTCAGGTTTAGTATGTGGCCCCTTTTTCATCCACAATTCAAACAAAAGCAACTTAAAAAAAGGACATTTTAAAAAAATAATCAGGGAAAATTGAACATGGATTCTAGATTAGATTATATAAGGAATTATTGATTTGAGAATGTGCAATAATAGTAGTGTGATTCTATATTTTTAAAAATCCTGCCCTAGCTGGTTTGGCTCAGTGGATAGAGTGTCGGCCTGCGGACCCAATAAAAATATATTTAAACAAAACAAAACAAAAAAACAAATATCCTTACATACTGGTAAAATGGAATGTCTGAACGTTGCTTTAAAATACTCTAGGGAGCCCTCACCGGTTTGGCTCAGTGGATAGAGCGTCGGCCTATGGACTGAAGGGTCCTAGGTTCGATTATGGTCAAGGGCACATGCCCGGGTTGCAGGCTTGATCTCTAGTAGGGGGTGTGTAGGAGGCAGCTGATCAATGATTCTCTCATCATTGATGTTTCTCTCTCTCCCTCTCCTTCCTCTCTGAAATCAATAAAAATATCTTAAAAAAATACTCTAGGGAAAAAATTGGGGGGATGGGTGAAACAGGAATGTCAGAGGATTGATTTTTTAAAAATTGATTTTAGGAAGAGAGGAAGGGAGGGAGGGAGAGCAAGACAGAGAGGGAGGGGAACATAGCTTTGTTGTTCCACTTATTTATGCTTCTTGTATGTGCCCTGTCCAGGATCAAACCCACAACCTTGATGTATCTGATGACGCTCTAACCAACTGAGCTACCCGGCCAGGGCTGATGATTTTTGAAACTGAGTAATGGTCATATGGGGGCCACTACATGAGTCCACCATTACAATTTGTATACTAAAAGGTTTTGTAGAATAATTCAAGTATGGCCGAGGAAAAAAAGAACACCTTGATTAGCACTGAATTCCAGAAAGTTGCTCTTCCAAGAGGAGCTTCTGGCTGGGCCTAGGGCAGCGCTAGCACCTCTGTCCCCGGAGACCTCCTGACCTGGGCCGGAGCTTCGTTCTGAGGGGCTGAGTCCCCTGAGCCACCCCCAGAGGAGGCTTTGGGTTGGAATCGATCTGGCTCCTGACAGGCCATTTGCAGACATGGGCCGTTCCCATGCTGCGGAGATTAGCTTTTGCTGTGTAACAAACTACCCCCAAGTTTAGTGGCTTAAAGCAAGCATTGAATCTTTCTCAAGATTCTGTGTGGTGGCTGGGCTTCTGGGCTGAGGTGCCTGGGGCCAGCTGGTCTCACTCACATGCTGGGGACCTCGGCAGCACCTCCTATAGGAGGCGGGAGGTGTTTACAAGACTCGGAGAGAGGACAAGCCTCAAGGCACAGGCACATCCATAGGTGAGAACACGTCCCAAGGCCACGCCCAGGGTCACGGGCTGGAGAAACAGGGACTCCTTTACAGGGAGGACTTGTACTGAAGGGCAGCCAAGGGCGCGAGCATTCTGACCCAGAGCACTTCTCTGATGAGACCAACTCCACCGATGCGGCCAAGGGAGGGTCCTGTGCTATTCAGGTGCCCCAGGTCTAGCGTTGTCTTTCCGCATATAGAACAGAGGTGGTGGGTGAAATTTTACTCAGAAATACAGACCCTGGGCTAATGGAATTCACCAGAGTAATTCATTCCTGTTTCTGCTTTTGTCTGCCTCCCTTTTCCTGTGGCCTAAACTCAGTCCTACTTTCCTTCCACCTCCTCTTGACTAGAACATCTGTGACTCACTCTTGGTGGCGGCTCACTGTCCCTCCCCACGTTCTCAGAGGACAGAGTGGCTTGATTCACAGGAGGAGGGGGAAGTTGGGCGTGTGGCCTGGGGCCAGCTGCCTCCCCCGTGAACCTTGTTTCCTCATCTAGAGGATGTGGGGGTTGCATGGAATGCCTCAGAGGCCCCTGCGGCCCAGCCCTGCTCGCAGGGAAGTGGTCAGGCTGGAGCAGGTGGTCCAGTGCTGTGTCCCCTGGGCCTCCAGTCAGGCCTGGCCACTTTGGGGAGAAGAATGCTCTGTGTGGGTGTAATAGATTGGTTGCAAAAGTGGCCCCAATTCTTCACATGCACACCCCATCCATGCCTTTTGCAATGATGCTCTGCAGCTCCTTTCATCAAGAATAGAGCGTCGGCCTGCGGACTGAAGGGTCCCAGGTTCGAGTTCGGTCAAGGGCACATGCCCGGGTTTTGAACTCAATCCCCAACTGGGAGTGTGCAGGAGGCAGCCGATCAGTGATTCTCTCTAACTCAGTCCCCAACTAGGAGTGTGCAGGAGGCAGCCGATCAGTGATTCTCTCTCATCATTGATGTTTCTATCTCCCTCTCCCTTCTTCTCTGAAGTCAATAAAAAGAAAAAAGAAAAGAAATGGAGTCCGTGTACCCCCACTCCCTTCCCCTGCCAATCTGCTTTGGTGGATAGAATGTGGTAGAAGTGATGGTGTGATTGATTGTCTTATGCCTCAGCCTTCAGGCCATTTACTCATTTGCTTTCTTTCTTAGAATCCTGCCTCTGTCACAAGAACACACTTAGGTTAGCCTGCTGGAAGGGAGTCATCCCAGCTGAGGCACTGAGACCAGCCAGCACTCTGCCAGCCTACCAGTGTGAGTGAGCCCAGGCTAGATCAGCCTAGCCCAGCCCAGCCCAGCCCAACCCAGGTAGGTGAGTCCCAGCCAATCTGTAGATTTGTGAAAAATAAGAAATGATGGTTGTTTCAGCCACTATAGTTTTGGGGGTTGTTGCACAGCTGATAGAGTGTGTGTGTGTCCTAAATAGAACCCTGTATCTCCTCATCAGGCTGGACTGGCTCTGGGTTTAGCTGCTGGACTCTAGTCTGGTTCCTGGCTCCTGCACCTCGGAGGTGGAGCCGCTAGGAGGGGCAGGTGGCTTGGGAAAGGAGGGGAGAACGAAGGCCCCGGAGAGCAGGCCCTGCTGCCTAACCTGAATGAACATGGCAATGTAGTTGCTGCCCTGAAATGCCTTTTTGAAAAGTCTATTTTTATATATTAAAAATATTTTTTTATTGATTTCAGAAAAGAAAGGAGAGGGAGAGAGAGATAGAAACATCAATAATGAGAATCATTGATTGGCTGCCTCCTGCACTCCCCCTACTGGGGATTGAGCCCACAACCCCGGGCATGTGCCCTTGACCAGAATTGAACCCAGGACCCTGAGTCCACAGGCCAATGCTCTATCCACTGAGCCAAACCGGCTAGGGCATAAGTCTAGTTTTATATCTTTAAATCAAAATTATACCTGCACCTGAACTACAGAATCAAATAGTCCAGTAGGACCCTGGTATGAACAACAGCAGGCTTCTGTCTGCTCCCTCCTCCCCACTTCCTGCTCCCCAGACTCAGGACTTTCACTTTTTCAAAAAGCAATGCATGTATTTCTCCTTCAACATAACGCGCTCATGTTGCCACGTCTTCCTTTGAGGCATCACCTGTTGGCTTCCCACCGGGGGAGAGTTCGCCCCGTCACCCGATTCCCTCCTCACATGCCACTGCCTCCCCAGCTCCTTGACCTCCAGCTCCCCTGAGCCGTGATTCTGTTAAGTTAATGTTCACTTCTTACTTGCTCCTGCGACTTTGCTCTTCACAAATGACTTGGGCAGCATCATAGTCCAACTTGTACTTTCTTACACAGCTTTTCCCTGCACGGCTTCCCAACGGCTGTTCTAGGCCCCAGGGGTGGGTTGGGGGTGGGTGGCTCTGGCTTCTGGGTCATTAGGTAACTCCCTCTTGCTGTCCTCCTTGGCTTTGCTACCTCCCCCTGCCCCTCCCCCTCATTTCAGGGGGCTCCAAGGGAGGGTGTAACCACAGATGGAGCCCAGGACTCTGTGCCGTGGCGGGAAGGCAACCGTGACCCCGTTTCTCCCTTTCTCAGCTTCTCCATCAGGGCCTGGTGGTCCAGGGTTTGTGGTCCCGGGTGGGGCTCAGCACTGGGGCCTTTCCGGGAGGTTTCTGAGTGAGGAGGTTGCCAGGAGTGTTGTGGGGTGTGGACGGGGCACAGAGCCTGACGTGCATGTGGTTGGTGAGGTCTGGGCTGAGGGATGCTCCAGCCGTGGAGCAGGACAGGACGGGAGACCATTGCCTGGACCCCCGGGTCACACCCCGCAGTCACACCCCATGGTCAGCACCTCACGGTCACACCCCGCGGTCAGCACCCCGCGGTCACACCCCGCGGTCACACCCCACGGTCACACCCCGCGGTCACACCCCACGGTCACACCC